TCTACGGTATTAGTTACTAATGAAGACAAAATTAAAATAGCAAAATTGGGCCAATAAAAAGTTGTTTCGTAATCATAACTGCTCTATTTGTTTATTTAAATTAATTTATTTGGGGAAAAAATACTAAAAAGTCATCGCCACTTCCAACAAATAACCCTAATCTCACTTACCTAAGCTAGCGGTCGCCTCTACTCCTCTCTTCTTCCCTTCTATCTCGTCTCTACTCTTCTCTCTGGAAACCAACGAAATAGAGAAAGAAAAATCTTACCATCCTTTTTTAATCTCATACCTTTTCGTGTGTCTACCCGATCTCTCACTCAACCTACCGTATTCCTCTCGCTTTTCTTTTGAAAATCAATGAGAAGGAACAAAATGGAAGGCAACATTGTCGAGGATGACGACGGTGATCGACACCGGCAGAGGTGACCGTGAAGGCGCCGGAGGTTGAAGGTCAGTTTTGTCTCCAATTGCATGTCAATTTTAGGTGATTTCCTACGATTTTTGGTTTCATTTAGGGATTCTGATATGCCTCTTGTTTTTTTTTTTGTTTATGGTTTTAGAAGGGGGAGGGGGGGAGGGGGGGAGAAAGGGAGCCACCGCCGACAACCTCTGATTCTATCGGAGGCGCCGACAATGCAGAAGGGGGTTAGAAACTCTTTTGGTAAGATCTATAGGGTTTTATTTGAGATTCTTGTTTGGTGTAGGTTATTCAGATTCGAAGAAACGCAATCGATTTGGTAAAGTTCTTCCTCCATGGCCTTCGAATTTTTTTTGTTGCTCTCAATTTCCCTTCATTCTCCCCGATCAATTGTAGACGCCTCAAGTTCCCCACACAATCGATTTGGTAGAGTTTTTCCTCCATTGTTTTCTTACTCGCTTTTCGTATGGATTCTGACTTATTGTTTCTTTTGTACTCTGAAATGGGCGCCATAAGATGCATCTCGATGAAGATGATTTGACCGAGGAGAGGATCGTGGTTGGCCATTGAAGAAGGAGGAAGAAATCGCAAAGTGCAGCGGCAGTGGGTTGGAGAGGAAGAGACAGAGTTATGTTCTTTTATTTTTTAATTAATAATTTTAATTAATAATTTATTTTGATTTTTTTAATAAATCTATATAGTAAGTTGTGAACAATAATTGCAATTGAATAATATTTTGTTGATTTTTTTAATATATGATAATTTATTTTGTTGTTGGAAAATGCATAGACAATAATTACGTTTTCAGGTATTAAACGTATTGATCTATAATAGATAAATTATTAAATGTATTTTTATCATTTTCTTCGTCATGAATGTCTTCTTTTCTGATGTTGTTCTCTACTGATCCAACGAAACCAATGCATCGGTAATAATTTTATTTATGAGGAGTTTTCCATTCATGAGGATTTTTACTTGTTAGAAATAACAATAGTATACGATGGGGTAGGGGTTTCAAAAGAGTTATGATCTGGATTCCAACAGCGAGTAGTTCCGGCTGGCGGCGGTTCCATTTTTCTTTGCAGGTACATTCCCACGCTGCCATTCAAGGCCAGACACGTTTCCCACCTCCCAAAGTCCCAATTATTTTTACTTATTTATCAATTTTTTTAATCAAATTATTTATTCACCGAGAAGACCCCTCTTTTTTAGCTTCAAACTGCATAATTTTATGCCTTTGCATATTTATGTTATTTACTTACATCTTAGATAACGTATTGGTGTTTAACTCACTATTCTTTAGCTAGGTTATTTCGTTGATTTGTATGGCTAGGGGAGCAAGTGGCAATAAGGCAGATGGGTATTATTGTGTTTCGTTGTGTGTAGTCTAACCTATGAATTTGTGGGAAGTAGCATTGGTTTCATTTGTTTCACAGGTTACCGGACCTTGGTTTGCAAGTATGAATGATGTCAATCATGATCACGGTGGCGCGGTGTTTGAAGAAGTGCAATTGCTTAATACCTCTTTTGCATTTGTATCTTTGTGTTTGCTTTTCGTAGTACTAACGGGGCTGCCCATCGAGCGACACAAACGGACCTTGCATCGGTAGCAACCCATATGGTTGACTACCGCTTTTTCATTTCCACCGCATTGTAATACTCTATCTATTACAATCTATCTATGACAAAAAAGAAAAATAACAATAGGGTATTTTGGTAACAAAAAGTTTCGCCTAATTATACAACTGTTTCTGACAATAAACAAGTTGTCACAACAACACATAAGGGTATTTTGGGGATGGAAATTCCAAAGTGTTATTAACAAAAAATATTCACAGAAATACTTAAACTGACAAAATAATTTCCTTAAAAATAGTTTTTACTTTCTTACAAAAACTTTTTGTCAAGTTCTTTGCCTCAAGGGTGTTTCTTTTCTAACTACGATAAATTAGATTTTGAAGATAATTTACCCTCACAAAAAATGTTTTTATGACACCAAATTTTTTTAGACTATTACCTACGGACCTTTACCCCACGACCGTATTTCGTCAGAATAAACTTTTAGTGACAAGAAAAGGCTTTTTGTGACCCCAATCGTCTGGTAATATCTGCCAGTCTTTTTTGTAGTGATCCAAAAGATGGTTGAGCCGTCTACAATTGAAGCGACAGTTGTATCCACGATAAAAAAACGATTCCCGCCACCTACACCGTCGGTATCCCATAGCTTATAACTTTTTCAAATCAATTTGAAGCGCTTAACTAATTTTGTATATACACATTACTTTCCATTGGATACTTTTTACTACTGTTTATTCTGAAGATTTTCAATTTTGCAGAGGGTAACTAAAATACGTTTACTCAGGCCAATGGTTGCACATATTGGTAATCTAATTCCTTGCACTAGGAACTCATCAGCCAGGTTTGAAGCTCGCGTTGATGTTGGAATCTTTCACCAAAGAAGAATCGTAAGATACATGTTCAAGTATGCAATTAAGTGCACAAATTGTGATTCAGTTGTGGAGGCCAACTTACCAAGCCCATCGGTTGACCCAGAACATCTTTATGATGTCAATGTACGCATTGCACTACATTTCTTAGCTAAACTGGCTCATTCAAATACCAAGTGTTTACTCTCATACGTTCGCTTTCAGGAAATGCTATACAATTGCATGCCCCCATCTCCCGTGCGGTTTTAGCTATCGAATTTAGGTGTGCCTCTGCATTATTGCCTTAATGGAAGATCAAAAGACCCATGCATGCTTGTCCCAGACATCCGTCAACAAGTCTTGGAAGACGGGTAAACTGAAAAATGGTTTCGTACTTCTATGATTGTGTTTGGTTAACTATTCTTACTAGACCAATTTTGACACTTTTCAACTGTTTCCAACTATTTCAGACCACAGGTTCCCTTCACGCATACTTGTGATGCAACAGTAGCTCCTTCCTTGGACAAAAAATCAAAAAGGTATTTGTATTGCCACACTGCTTTGTTAAAAAATACATTTCTTCTGGCAGTTTGCAAGCAAAAGAACGCATGCATCACATCTCCTTAAATGTGTTATCCATATGGTTCTTACATCCTAAACTAACAGGCCAGCGGTTGAGTTGTCGTCAACCGAGGATGTCATGAGCACCTTCATGCCCGAAAAGCACTCGGACAAAGCCAAATCTGCAAACACAAGCACCTAGGAGGAAAGAAACAACAAACCAGGTAAGACGTCGCAAAATATATCTTCCCTGCTGAGTACTGACATACATGACACCCACTTACAGTTCCATTTTTCTTTCAGGTGAACCAGTTCTAAGTCAAGCTCTACGTGTTTATAGTGTACAATATTTATCAATAGTGTACAGAAGCGTAGTAGAACCACCCGCGCAGAAAAGGGTATCGAGGACTCCTACATGGCAGTCGACTTTTGAAATTACATCAGCTGACACATGAGTACGAGGGCATGTATTTTGGCAAGGAAACCCAATCGACACCTGTTTGTTTATATTGTACAACTTTGTAAAATACATCCTTGCAAGCCCATATCTCCTGGAACCAATGTAAAACTATAGATGTAACAAATATGCTTCAGTTGCAAGAGTAATATAGAATAGTTATTTTTCCGACAACAATGAACAAATCCAAAATAATAACCCATCGCGCGGCAACACGCGCGTAGCAAACTTCGGCTCAAGATAGGATGCATAACCAAATATGGACCCTTCATTTAGGAAATCCAGATCTAAAGATGGAGAATTAAAGACCATTTTTATTTTTCCTAGCTTTCTTAATCGGCTCATATCTTTTTCGTTTTAACTCGGATTTTAATTTTTTTTTGCATAGGTGCAACAAGTTCATCGTGCTCTACAAAATGAGATAAATTTTCAATATTTTTTTAGAATAAAAAATTCCGGCTTCTCGGTACCAACTGCATACCATATGGTATTTTCTTAGTTTTTAATTTTTTTTGAAAACGTTTGCACAAAAGGGGCGAGTTCATCATGATCTATTGGATCTACAAATTTCTGGGTGAACAAATTATAGTACCAAAAAATACCACACAATACCATCCTAGTACGGGGTGGTATCTTATGGTACATAATGTTAAAAGTCGTAAATGACAGTTAATATATTTCTACTATTATGTATTCAACCATCCTACAGTCTTGATTTCTTCATACCACCATGGTAAGCTTTTCAAACCATAGGTATTCTCTTATTTCAATACTAGTCAATACCATATAGTATAGACTAGTAAAAAATGGCTCAATTTTTTTTGTTTGAAAAATATATCAAGTGAATATCATTTTGAAGAGCACAATTAATCTGATCTAACTGTGTAAAAAAATTAAATTTGGACTTAAAATGAGTGAGAAATCGTTCGTCAAAGATTTAAGAGTGGAAAATTAAAGGCTTTCCAGAAGAGAGAGGGATGCTGATGTCATACTAATGTGGACGGGTTAATCATAGTTACTCACCATAAGGTTACTGACCTAATCCATTCCCGGAAACTTCTAGTTTAAGTTGAAAGATCAGTGACCACACGGTTTCCTATTAGGATGGCCACAATATTCCACTCTAAGTTAACTGTTAATCCATTGATTTCGTCTCTTCCTAAATGAGCAAAGACCAACCTGATCACTACTCATTTCCAAGAAAACCCCAAGAAGATTCGGACCGAAGACTAAAACCCAGTCATCTTCCGAGGCCCATAAGAGACGCAGCAACCATCGGCGGTGAATAGATCGCTGACCAACGGCGTTTCTCAGGCCTTTACCCTCACTATCAACGCGCCATGGGCCTTATTCGCACCATCCGCCGGTACCTGCACCGGAAGCTGAATTCCCCTCGTGACAAGGAGAATTGTGACGATTTCGGCTTCGTTTTCGAAACTTCCGATCTCTTCCTTGGCCTCCGTACGCTTGAAGTGGCCACCGATTTCTTCTCCAACTCGAATAAGCTCGGTCATGGAGGCTTTGGTCCCGTCTACAAGGTGTGCAATCGTGGTTCTCCAGTTGGCTATTTATTCCTCCGATGCATTGAATTCGATCGTACTTATCAGCTCCGTTTTTGTTGGTTTGGCCGTCCCTGGAGCTTCAAACTTGCTCCAGTTTTGGTCTTTCAATAGAATACAGAATACTAACGAACTGGTAGCTGTTTGATTTGAATATAAAGTATGTTGAGTGTTTGTGCAAACTCCTGACAGTTGAAGTGATGTGTTCATTCATCGACTTCTGAATTAACCTGCTAAATATAAATATTTTGTGTTCAATTATCTCCAAGAGCTATCCCTTCCCATCCATGTAGAGCTGTTTTCAGGGGTTGATGCCGAATGGCCAAGAAATCGCGGTGAAGAAGCTCTCCTTAACTTCAAAACAAGGAGTGAGGTTATTCACTAATGAGGTGAAGCTGCTGTTCGAAATCCGGCACATGAATCTAGTTACATTGTTGGGTTGCTGTGTAGAAGGACCTGAGCAGATGCTTGTCTACGAGTATCTTTCCAACAAAAGTCTTGATTGCTTGCTCTTTGGTAAAGAACTCATATATGGAGTCGATATGTCTTCTATGTTTGGTAAACTGAGCACGTGATGATTCTGTCTGATGAACTTTCCTAGATGAGAGGAAGTCTACTCCCCTGGATTGGGCAACAAGATTCCACATAGTTACAGGGGTGGCAACTGGACTTCTTTATCTCCATGAAGAAGCCCCCATGAGGATCCTTCACAGAGATATCAAAGCCAGTAATATATTGCTAGATGAAAAACTGAATCCAAAGATGACAGATTTTGGCCTCGCCCGGCTGTTTCCAGAGGTATACAAACAACAAGTAATCGAACGTATACATGGTATTGTGTGAGTGTTTCTCTATGGTTGCTTACGGTTCTTTTCCATATCACTTGATGCCTGAATCCTGCAGCTTAGCTTTTCATCTAGGAGCTGTGAACGAATTTTGTGTTGGTTGCAGTGGTTACATGGCCCCAGAGTATGCAATTCATGGACATTTTTCTGCCAAGACCGACGTCTTCAGTTATGGTATTCTCCTTCTAGAAATTATAAGTGGGAGAAGGAACAACAATTCTGGATTCGGTCTGGACCATGATACTCTCCTGCATTCTGTAAGTCAATTCTTGAATCACATGTGGTTTATAGTTTGAGTTGCCTATTGAGTTTAGACTACTGAAGATGACATGAATATGAAAATCAGTATCTTGTGCATCCAACTTAGGAACATACTGGAAAACCATGCTTTAGTTATGCCTTGTGCGATTTGTAAGTGCCTATTTGTAACAGTGTCGGATTCATGCTCTTCCTTGTTGCACCACATGATTCGTCCGATCATTAATCTAAACCATCTAATATATTTTTTCTTCTTCTTAAACACAGGCATGGGAGCTCTACCAAGCAGGAAAGACGTTGGAATTAGTTGACCCAAGCCTTGGCAATTCTTACAGCCCCGATGAAGTAGGATTGTGCATTCAGATAGCGCTTTTGTGCTGTCAAGAAACTGATACCGATAGGCCTGACATGAACTCGATTCATGTCATGCTTTCGAGCGACTTGTTTAGTTTGCCCCCACCTGGTCAACCTGGATGGCTATCAATGGGATCATGGTCTGGAGGGGAAACTACTACTGATGGAGATCAATATTCCCAAAACTCCATCTCTGTTTCCTCCATTGATGAAGGTAGATAAAGGGATATGATTGTATTCCTGCATGTTTTTATAAATGTAAGCATGAATCAATTGGGTTTGATGTGTATTAATATGCTGGCAGGCCTATTTTCTCCGATTCAGGGACCCTGATTTCCAGATATTACACTATGTACTCATAATCAGGGCATCAGTTGAATTCGTTTCATGAGTTTTCTGATACGTGTTGGATTTGGATATCTCCCTTTTCTTGATGAGTTTTCTGATACGTGGTGGATTTGGATATCTCCCTTTTCTTGATGGGAGTCGGCCAGGTTTCTCCTTTCTTGGCGAGAATAAACAGGAGTTATACTTTCTTGGCTAGAACAACCAGAGACTTTTCGTCCATTGTAATTGCTTACCTTCTTCCTCTCTTTCTCACGTTTAAATACAATCCAAACGACTAAGACTTGAAAGTCCTAACAAAGTGGAACTACCCACAACTACATGTTTCCCTACTCTTCCTCCACGTATGGTGGGGGTTCTTATTAGACACGAACACAACTAAGAACTACTACTGCTAAGTGCTAACAACCTGGAAATGACTCTTTCAACAAATAAAGCAAAGCCCAAAGACTACTCCTATAACGGCAACGACACGTTTGGACGATGGTTGGGCTACACAATCTCGGTAGTATGAATTGGGCTGGGGCTCTTAAGCTGAACTTCGGTTGGGCCAAGTTGAGTGATTCGTGGGCTCATCATTACCACCCTGAAAAACGGCCTTGTGCTCAAGGCCAAGTTATAAGAAGTGATATGCCTGCAATGCAAGCCCCAACTCTGCATGTTTTAGCTTCTTACTTTGAAAGATTGGACTTCATAGCCTCTTTCATTAGCGGGCTTCATGTGGAGCTTCATCTCTTTTCTCTCCTCCACCTTCATTAGCGGGCTTCATAGCCTCTTTCTTACTCTCCTCCAACTTGGCCCTCTCTGCGATCACACTGTCATTGGGGCTCTTGTAGTTTGGTTTATCGTGATTGTAGACTAAGGGAACCATCAACCGCTTTGCCGGTGGGAGAAAGAAATAGTTGATATCCATAATAAATCCAGCGGCGGATGAAGATTCGATCTCGTGCCTCCGCGTGTAGGTCTTTTCGCCGAGGCGTTCTTCAACGTAGCAGGAACCCATGGTGACAGCCATGGCAAAGAGATTCTCACGTAGAGTTGTAGATTTGAGTTCCCTTCCACCCGAATCTATACAAACTAATTTGGTTGGATGAACCTTAGCATGTAAAATTCGATGATCTGAAAAGAAGCTAAACACAAGACACAGATTTACGTGTTTTTCCCATTCAGATTGAACGGGAGTAGTCCACGGATAGCTTGGCTCTCGGCAGAGATTATTATTTCTGTTCTTTCTTTCTTGTGTCCTCGGCAACCCTAGCCGACTACAAATATATAAAACCCAACCCTTTTTCACAAGTAACGTAGGGTTGGTGAAATAAAGGAAAATAACAAAATAATCCCCAAACATAAATTGTCAAGCAAAATGCACCGCAACACTCCCTTTCAAGCGAAGGAGTGAATGTCGAGAAGTTCGAGCTTGCTGAAGAGATGATGAAACTGCTCCACACTCAATCCCTTCGTAAACAAGTTAGCGGGCTGATCAGAAGTGGTAATCTTACGAGGCTCGATGTCACCGGACTGTACACGCTCCCGAAAAAAGTAACAATCCATCTCGACATGTTTGGTGCGCTCATGAAAGACTGGGTTGGAAGCGATATGTAATGCTGCCTTATTATCACAGAACAGAGTAGTGGGACCTGTTGAAACAACTCCCAAATCTCGAAGGAGCCAACGAAGCCAAAGGACTTCACTAACCGTGCTAGCCATAGGATGATACTCAGCCTCTGCACAACCACCCCAGTCGGCATCACAAAAGGCTGTGAGAGTAAGGGAGGAAGACTTTGGAAAGAAGAGGCCACGCCCAGGAGAAGCTTTGAGATATCGTAGCACACGAATCGCTGCATCCTCACGAGCTTTGGTAGGTGCTTGCATAGCCTGACTGAGAATGTTAACGACATAGGTGATATCGGGTCGGGTAACAGTTAAGTAGAGAAGGCGGCCAACCAGCCGATGGTAGGCGCTGGCATTCTCGGCAAGAGGAGATGGTAAACGGCCGATGTGATGCTGCTGCTCGATGGGAGTGGAACACGGACGGGCTGCCTCGAGCCCGACATCAGCAAGAATGTCGAGCACATACTTAAGCTGATTCAGAACAATCCCTCGAGGTGAACGGGCAACCTCTATACCTAGAAAATCCTTCAATGGTCCATGATCCTTAATGGTGAACCGCTCATGGAGATAACTCTTAACCCTTCTAATGAAATCCAAGTCTGTACTAGCTAAAATGACATCGTCCACATAAATGAGAGCAAAAACATTCGTGGAACCCTGATGATAGGTGAAAAGGGCATGATCAGCTCGACTCTGTACAAACTCAAATTCAAAAAGAGCCTGAGTAAACTTCTGATACCAATTGTGCGAAGCCTGGCGCAACCCATAAATTGACTTATGAAGACGACATACACGAGTGTCTCCCGGACGAGCAAAACCCTGCGGAACTGCCATATAAACCTCCTCGTCAAGATCACCATGGAGAAAAGCATTATTCACATCAAGCCGATGAATATGCCAATCTCGAGTGACTGCGAGTAAACAATGAATAGTAACCAACTTTGCCACCGGTGCAAACGTGTCGTGATAGTCGACCCCTTCTATCTCCATATATCCTTTGGCCACGAGACGCGCTTTATAGCGCTCCACCGATCCATCAGGATTGAAATTTATTTTGAACACCCACTTACACGCAATACAACGCTTTCCTGGAGGAAGAGCTATGAGAGACCAAAATGCGGAGTAGAAACCATCGCTGGAGAAGGAGAAACTCCACCTGGAACATCTCGATACAGGTAGATGGTTTCAAGAAACTTCACGTCGCGAGAGGTATATATGACATGCTTTTCAAGATCGTATATACGGTACCCACGTTGGCTAGGTGGATAACCAATAAAAATGCCAGCACGACCTCTATCACCAAACTTATGAAGGCCTTGATGGGTATCCCGAGCGTAGACAAGGCACCCAAAGGTGAGAATATGACGATAAGAAGGATCTCGACCGAAAATCACCTGATATGGAGACTGGTTGGCGATGCTAACAAGTGGGAGACAGTTGATGAGATAAGCAGCCGTCAATATACATTCATCCCATAATTTCAGAGGAAGATTAGCATAAAACCGCAACGCACAAGCAGTATCAAGAAGATGCCTGTGTTTGCGTCCAACAACGCCATTTTGCTTGGGCGTATTGGTGCAAGAAGTCTTAAGAACAATGCCATTCTCCTCATAGAACGAGGTCAAGACATTAGTCGAGAATTCGGGTCCATTGTCGGCCTGTATCCGGCGCACCTATTTCCCGAATTGAGTGCGTACCAAGTTGCAAAAATAAAGTAAATATCGTCCAACATCCGATTTATGTCGCATCAAGAATACCCAAACTGCCCTGCTATGATCATCCAATATCGTTCAAAAATAGTGTTCCCCAGAAATGGACGCCACTTTATAACTACTCCAGATGTCAATGTGAATGAGTTCAAAGCAAGACGTAGTTTTAATGGAGCTAGAATCAAACGAATCGTGAGTCTTCTTAGCACGCAAACAAGACCGACATGGTTCTGAATTCTGAATAAAAGAACAATCAACAAGTTTCTACAAAGAATGAAGCTTTGCCATAGACGGATGACCAAGGCGTGCATGCCACAGCTCCGTATCACTGAGAGACCGCCAAACTGAATGCGTCACTGGATTCCCATCGTCAAACAGCCGGAGAAAATAAAGTCCATCAACATGCTTACCCATCCCAATCAGCCTCCTGGAGGGTAAGTCCTGAATCACACAGAAGTCACTCAAGAAGATCAATGCAACCGGGAGATCAGCTGTAAGACGACTAACCGATAGAAGATTGCATTGGAAATCAGGCACATGCAGTACTTGATGCAATAATATATCACTAGATAAACGACTGGTGCCAATGCGATGAACTTTGACACCCGTTCCATTCAGTATTTTAACCTGTAAGTTTGGTGACGAGTCCAACTCGGCATCCAATAAAGAGTCTTGGTTAACAATGTGTTCACTGCAACCCGAAACTATAAACCAAGAAGATAAATTAGAAGTGAACATACCAGCCATGTTAGAGGATGGTTCGAGGGCAGATTGAGCGGCCTGCTTCATATCGCCACCGAGGAGGGCCTTCAGCTGCGCAAATTGAGAAGCCGTAAGGCCCGGAAAGGGGCTATCATCCGACTCCACCTGTGCAGCATGTGGCGTCGAACGAGTGTTCTTGTGTGATCGGCGGCGAGGTGGATCCCCTTTGTCTCCAGTCCGCGGCGAGAAACCCACCAGGCGATAGCAGGTGTCGCGGAAGTGCCCAACACGCTGGCAATGTGTGCAGCGGGGCTTCCCGTGAGGATCCCTTTCACGATCCCGCTCTCTATCACGGTCTCCTTGACTGCCAGAGTGATCGGGGCGTCTCTCCCCTGAGCTTGAAAGACGGCGGCTTCAGGGCGTGGTTTGCGATTGCTAGCAATCTGTCTCTGCTGCTCGTCGTTGATGACGAGTTGATATGTGATAGACCGTTAGTTACACATGTTTTCACCCCTGTTCTTACACCGTTGGAGATGTGGTTTCTCGTGTTTTAGACCGATTTCACGCTAGGTTGTGCTTGTTTGTGATATTTCAGGTCCTGGCAAGTGAATGAAGGTTTAGGTGCGATTTCGGGGTCGATTGAGCGAAGATCGGGCGCGAGACAAGTCACAAAGGAAGTCACACGGCCACACCCACAACCCACACGGCCGTGCAAGTGGCCAGTCTGGCCGTGTGGGATTCTGCGAGAGCAGACACGGGCCGCCCTGATGATCCACACGGCCGTGCAAGTGGCCGGGTTGGCCGTGCCACATTCTGCGAGAGCAAACACGGGCAAGAAGGGATGTTCACACGGCCGTGCCAATCTGGCCGTGCAGAGAGCCTGGAATTCGAACTAAATGGAACGCAGCGTTTTGACTCACACGGGCAACTGGGTGAGCTGCACGGCCGTGCCACCCTGGCCGTGTGAGTCGGGATTTTCTCCTTTTAAGCAGAATTTCAGCCACAATTCGGGGAGATTCGGGTTTTTGAGAAAGAGAGCGATTCCTAGAGAGAGAAAGTGACGAGCAAGAGTTCCCAAGTGCCCTAGATTGATCTTCAACACCATTGGAGGCCAACTTGAGCTTGGAGAAGTTCCAATCAACGTCTAGAAGCAGGAATCCATCCTTCGCAGTATAAATTCCGTATCTGATTCTGCTTTTGCTTTCTTCTCCATGGAGTAGTTCTCCCATTCATCTGGGTATGGAGAACCCTAGATTTGTATGTTAGGCTTTGATTGTATGAACCCAAGTACTGATTCCATGATTGATTATATTCGATTGAGGTTTTAACGATTGAATGACTTGAATCCTAATCAAATTCCTGTTGTTTCTGCTTTAACCTAGAATGAGAATATCTGCCTAGGTTAATAGAGTATCCTTGATTGAAGGTAGGGAGTTGGTGAGTTTAGTCGAGGAGCCAACTCACTATTCTGTACCGGATTTACTCCGGTAGTGGAGGTTTTGTTCTTAGGGCCTCAATCTGTTTACTCCGGTGGAGGTTAGTCGCCCGCTAGAGACTCAGATTGAGAGGGTCTGAAGACCTTTAGTCGAGACTTCAGGCTGTTTAAGAACCTTCCGCGGTATAACTTTCATAGAAACTGAACTTGGTAATTACAATCCGGCTTAACTGCAGTCTAGGGGGAACCATATCCAGGTGACCTCTCTTAACCTGAATACAACCGTTTACTTGCTTTGTTAGTTTGTTAGTTTAGACTTGCATTAAAGTTTCATTGCTAGATAACAAGAATTCATTGAGTAGTCATCAAATCTAGGACCCGGGTTGATAATTAAACCCAAACCCGCTATACTACGCTTTAGGAAGTGGTTTCACTTGGCCAATTCCTGGAGTGACAGTAGAGTCGAGTCAAGTTTTTGGCGCTGTTGCCGGGGACGGCTAGGTTGTTGAAGAAAAGTGATTTCTGTTAGTTTAGCATTTACTTTTTGCATTTTTGCTTTTTCCCACTTGTGCCTTCACGGGTTTGCTTGCTTGAGTGTGTGCAGGTAGTGCATGACCCGTAGCCAGTCAAGAGGTTTACTGCCGGTCATCCTCTACCCGCCGATCCCAGCAAACAACTTCGAGATCAAGCCATGCTGGATTCAGCTCATCACATCTTCTATCCAGTGCCATGGCTTGAAGAATGAGGAGGCCAGGGTGCATCTTTCCCGTTTTCTGCAGCTAACGAACGAGTTCAAGCTGAATGGTGTCCCCGATGATGCGATCCGCCTTCATCTTTTCCCCCATTCTCTGGCGGGGAATGCTAAGAGGTGGTTGGAGACCCAGCCCCCATTGTCCATCACCTCTTGGGACGATCTGGCTGACAAGTTCGTGCACAGGTACTATCCGACATCGAAGACTACAGAGATTCAGCGGGAGATCACTCACTTCCGCCAAGAGCCAGATGAGTCCCTTCGTGATGCTTGGGAGCGGTACATGGGCTATTTCTGGCAGTGCCCCCATCATGGCTTCAGCGATGCATTCACAGTGGGGAACTTCTACAGTGCCCTCTCTCCAGATAGCCAGAGGGTGATTGAGTCTCTATGCCCAGGAGGGGATATTCTCACTAAGACTCCACCCGAGCTGAACCAGATGATTAATACATTGGCTGCCAGAGATCATTCCTGGGGGCAGAGCAGCAGAGGCAGACATTCCCGGGACCGTGTGTGCACGCCATGGAGACCAGATCCGGGCTCGAGCAGCAGGTAGCTGAGCTAGTGCAGACATTGAAGCAGCCCAACAGTCTTATTCCGGGCAGAGGTTTGGCTACACCTCCAGTAGCTCAATGTCAGTGGTGTGAGAGCTCCAATCACCTAGTGGAGGACTGCCAGGCTATGAGGGAGTCTACCACACCCCAGGAGCAGTTGGCCTTCATCGCCAATGCGAGGCGCCTCGATCCATACAGTAGCACATATAATGAGGGGTGGCGCCAGCATCCCAACTTCGCATGGAGCAGCAACACCACTAAACCACCTGGTTTCCCAGCACCAGCAGGTGGCTTTCAGCAGAGGCAGCCCTTCCAGGCTTGCCAGGGGCCAGACCCACAGCAGCAGCCCTACCAGCCTAGGCAGGGGCAGCCATTCCAGCAGCCCCACGCCAGTTTGCCGAGCCAGCAGCAGTTCCGGCCCCAGATGACAGGATGACGAAGCTGGAAAACATTCTAGCTTCATTTATGACTAGCACTCAGGCTGCTATCACGTCACTGGAGGCAAGTCAGCGGAACCAGGGTGCCATTTTGCAGGATCTGCAGACCCAGGTGGGCATCTTGGCCCGCCAAAACACTACCAGGGCACTGGGGACTCTGCCTGCCACCACTGTTCCGAATCCTCGAGATCCTCACCAGCACCAGCAGCTGGATGCCATTTTTACTAGGAGCGGTAAGACCATATCTGTTGATCCTGTCCCGGCCAGACAGGAGTAACCACTACCTGCTTCAGCACTTCCAGCCGACGATGCAGAAGTGCGGGTGGAGAAGGAAGCCCCTGCTCCCAAGCCACAACCAATGGTTAAGGAGCATGTACCCTAGCTTCCCTTCCCCACTCGCCTCCACAAGGACAAGCTGGAGACTGAGTTTGCCAAGTTCATGGCAATGTTGAAGCAGCTCAACATCAGCATACCGTTCATGGAGGCACTGTCGAAGATGCCCAAGTATGCCAAGTTCATGAAAGATATCTGCACCAACAAGAAGAAACTTGGGGATCTCTCGACATTGATGCTGAGCGAGGAGTGTTCTGCTATCCTGCAGAACAAGCTGCCCAAGAAGCGCAAAGATCCAGGGAGTTTTACTATCCCTCTTACTATTGGCAGCATGCATGTAGGTAAGTCCTTGGCGGACCTAGGCGCTAGCATAAATGTCATGCCATATAAGTTGTATAAGAAGCTAGACCTAGGTGAACTTAGCCCTACTAGGATGAGCATTCAGTTAGCTGATCGTTCTATCGTGCATCCTAGGGGACTCATAGAGGATTTGCTTGTCAGTGTCGGTGCATTCACATATCCTGTTGATTTCGTTATTCTTGATGTGCATGAGGATGTGGATGTGCCTTTGATTCTAGGTAGGCCATTTCTTGCCACCGCCAAGGCACTTATTGATGTGCATGATGGAAAACTGATCTTGCGTGCTGGGAATGAACAGGCTACTTTTTCTGTGACTGAGTTTGATCACCGTGCTATGATTGCTGTCACGCCTGTGAATGCCATTTCTGATCAGGTACACGAGTCTGTCGTGTACCCTTCTGCTCCTCTCATTTTGCAGGACCCTCCTTTCATTCCTTCGCCGCCACTCCATCCAGCCTCGCCTCCGAACAAAAAGCTCAAGAAGGAGTGGCGGCCGAAGCAGCAGGTTGCTAAGCCTGCACGGAAGAAGAGTGGAGACCACTATGAGCTGGTCCCACCTCCTGCACCACGACCACCCTGGCCGTCTGGGTACTCACTCACCTGCATCTTGCCAGATGGGCAGGTCGAGCTGACTGATGATGGTGGTCGCATCCATCGGGTGCATGGCCACAACCTGAAGCTGTACCTCAAGAGCGATGTGGATCCGCTCTTGGAGGCACCTGTTCCTGCACCGCCCTGAGTATCCACTATGGGCGTCCAGCTAAAAGACGGTAAAGAAGCGCTTGTGGGGAGGCAACCCCACCACGGTTTGTTTTTCTTTCTTGAGTTTTGACTCGGTTTGTCATCCGGTTTGGGTTTGGTTTGTTTTCTTTTGGTTTGGATGATATTTTATTGGGCTGACCATTGAACCTAACATATTGTGTTTGAGCTCTTCTGTTCCCCTTTGGCTGTGCTTGCCTGACTGGCCCGCTTCTAGTCCCCTGCAGTCCGTGCATACCGGTAACATCGTTCCCTTATCCTTCCCTCTTCTCCATTGAGGGCAATGTCGATCTTAAGTGTGGGGGGATGTTTATCTTTTGACTGCATTAGATCTGTTTGTGTGCTTGGAGCCTAGTCCACTGTCCAAATTTTTAAATTTGAGGGCTCCAAGTACGTGTTCCTTGCAATTGCCTGCTCAGTATGCTTGTTTGAGTTAGGTTTGCTTGGGGACAAGTAAACGGTTAAGTGTGGGGGAGTTTGATAGACCGTTAGTTACACATGTTTTCACCCCTGTTCTTACACCGTTGGAGATGTGGTTTCTCGTGTTTTAGACCGATTTCATGCTAGGTTGTGCTTGTTTGTGATATTTCAGGTCCTGGCAAGTGAATGAAGGTTTAGGAGCGAGTTCGGGGTCGATTGGGCGAAGATCGGGCGCGAGACAAGTCACAAAGGAAGTCACACGGCCACACCCACAACCCACACGGCCGTGCAAGTGGCCAGTCTGGCCGTGTGGGATTCTGCGAGAGCAGACACGGGCTGCCCTAATGATCCACACGGCCGTGCAAGTGTTCGGGTTGGCCGTGCCACATTCTGCGAGAGCAAACAAGGGCAAGAAGGGATGTTCACACGGCCGTGCCAATCTGGCCGTGCAGAGAGCCTGGAATTCGAACTAAATGGAACGCAGCGTTTGACTCACACGGGCAACTGGGTGAGCTGCACGGCCGTGCCACCCTGGCCGTGTGAGTCGGGATTTTCTCCTTTTAAGCAGAATTTCAGCCACAGTTCGGGGAGATTCGGGTTTTTGAGAAAGAGAGCGATTCCTAGAGAGAGAAAGTGACGAGCAAGAGTTCCCAAGTGCCCGAGATTGATCTTCAACACCATTGGAGGCCAACTTGAGCTTGGAGAAGTGCCAATCAACGTCCAGAAGCAGGAATCCATCCTTCGCAGTATGAATTCCGTGTCTGATTCTGCTTTTGCTTTCTTCTCCATGGAGTAGTTCTCCCATTCATCTGGGTATGGAGAACCCTAGATTTGTATGTTAGGCTTTGATTGTATGAACCCAAGTACTGATTCCATGATTGATTATATTCGATTGAGGTTTTAACGATTGAATGACTTGAATCCTGATCAAATTCCTGTTGTTTCTGCTTTAACCTAAAATGAGAATATCTGCATAGGTTAATAGAGTATCCTTGATTGAAGGTAGGGAGTTGGTGACTTTAGTCGAGGAGCCAACTCACTATTCTGTACCGGATTTACTCCGGTAGTGGAGGTTTTGTTCTTAGGGCCTCAATCTGTTTACTCCGGTGGAGGTTAGTCGCCCGCTAGAGACTCAGATTGAGAGGGTCTGAAGACCTTTAGTCGAGATTTCAGGTGTTTAAGAACCTTCCGCAGTATAACTTTCATAGAAACTGAACTTGGTAATTACAATCCGGCTTAACTGCAGTCTAGGGGGAACCATATCCAGGTGACCTCTCTTAACCTGAATACAACCATTTACTTTCTTTGTTAGTTTGTTAGTTTAGACTTGCATTAAAGTTTCATTGCTAGATAACAAGAATTCATTGAGTAGTCATCAAATCTAGGACCCGGGTTGATAATTAAACCCAAACCCGCTATACTACGCTTTAGGAAGTGGTTTCACTTGGCCAATTCCTGGAGTGACAGTAGAGTCGAGTCAATATGCTTCTCCAAGCCATGGAACAGGCTTCATCGCAAGGATCTAGGACTTGACGATAGAAAAGGCGTCGTCCAAGCCCATTAAAAAATCGAACAAGCGCTCTCCTTCACGCACCTCGCGCTGCCAACGCTTGACGTCATAGGTGCACCCTGCGTCATGTGCACTCTAATGACGGGGATGATCATCCCATAGGCCACACAATTTTGAATAGAAGGCTGAAATTGATGATTTTTCTTGCTGTGAAGAGCTTATGCGCCGCTTTAGGTCATACATACGGGAAGCACTTCCTTGGCCAAAGCGCGCCTGCAAATCAAGCAAAATTTCTCAAGCAGTGGAAGCAAAGCGAACACTACTACGTACCTCTTTGGTCATGGATGTTTTTAACCATCCCTTGACAATAGCAATACAGCGGCGTATGGCATCTCTCTCGTACGGCGTCTGCGCGGGCTAAAGGTTCCGTCAATGAAGCAGATTTTGTTTTTAGCCACAAGAGAATCTTTGATATCGATCACCCACTCGCCAGAGTTGCCTTCGGTAAGAAGTTCTCCGACGAACAGGTTGCTAGGACTATCCGAATGATGTAGTTTAAGGTGCGAGGGAAGACTAAGCTGATTTTCCGTCCCGGTTTTGACGGTTGACTGTTAAACTTTGCTGCTGGAATCGACGTCGTCCCCCATTGAGAAGTAAGCTGTGTGATCGGATTACAACTCTGATACCATGTAAAATTCGATGATCGTGAAAAGAAGCTAAACACAAGACACGGATTTACGTGGTTTCCCCGTTCAGATTGAACGGGACTAGTCCACGGAGAGCTTGGCTCTCGGCTGAGATTATTATTTCTGTTCTTTCTTTCTTGGGTCATCGACAACCCTAGCCGACTACAAATATATAAAACCCAACCCTTTTTCACAAGTCACGTAGGGTTGGTGAAATAAAGGAAAATAACAAAATAATCCCCAAACATATATTGTCAAGCAAAATGCACCGCAACATGGCAATTAAAATCAACCTCTCCATGAGGTGTCCCACCTTTGACATCAGCAATCAATAAATCACAGAAGTTACTTCCCTTAATTGCGTCCCACAAATCGCCCACGTTGTTCCTAATGAGTGAAAATAATAATGAATTGAACTCTCTACATACTACCATGGATGCGGCCTTATGTACCTGATCTGGCATTGATGTAGTTGATATGGCAGAGGTCAAGCTCCTCCTAGGTGGAGGCGGTGTGGCCTGGGCCACGAAAGCTTTTGCTTCTTGCTGATCGACGACACCAATTGTAGTGAGTGCAATGGCCTTGAACTTCTCCTTCTCTTCTTCTTCCCCTGTCTTCTTCCTCCGCCCTTTTCTGGACACCAAGGACTGCATAAGCGACGCCCATTGGATCCCTTCCATGATGTCGTAATCGACGATGTGGATACGCCGTTCCTGTGCTATCGCCTCCAGAATCGCTTGATTGGCATGAAGTGTCCGGATCTGACGTACAAAGACACGTCCTGGAGCAATTGGAACACCACCAGAACGTCCACAGCTGGTGCTTGTCCCGGTGGCAATTCGGCATTAATTGTTGCCGATGCTTATTGCCGCAGCCATTGCTGATTCCTGCGCCTACCTCTCTCCTTTTTTATTTTCCCTATCCGGTAACCGGTTCCTACAGCAGCTCGAAACCCTACCGCCGGCAGCAGTGAAATTCGATCACCCGAACCGCTGCATCTTAGTCGAGGAGGACAACGAAAGCGCAACAATTCCTCCAAGATCGAACAAGAACAACGATTCTGATTCGCCAGCTTCGGCGCCGACGTCATCAATGAATGCAGGCACCAGAGCTCCAGGACTGTGTCACAGATAGGACCAAGTTGTAAATAATACAAGATAGAGGACTGCTATTGTAATTGGCCAGGCAGTGCGTATTGTGTGTACTCAGTTGACTGGGTTACTAAAACACTGGGTAGAGCTTGTTAGAGATAATAAGAAAATACAACTACTCTTTCCCTCCTAATCTCTCTCTCTGCTCCTCCCTCTCTTCTTGTTCTTCTCTATTCTTCTTCTTCTCTCTTATCGCCGAGTTGAGCCCAGGTAGTGACAAAGTGGTATCAGAGCCCTACTCGGCATGACAACCAGGATAATGACGGTGGAAGAACGACTCAATGATGTTGCGACTCGTACTTCGTCCTTGGAAGATCGTTTGACGGCACTAGACGCCCAAATTACAGAGATTAGTGGGCGGAGCCAGACGAATACGTTGCAATTGACGAAGCTCCGGGAGCGTAGTGACAGTTTGACGATGTGTCCAGAAGGTCATTCTCAGCAATTGGCGACCATTATTACTCAATCTCGTGCTGTGGACGCTCGTCTAAATGGGTTTGAGGAGCAATTGAACAATCGCTTCACTGAACTGTTGTTAGAAATCCGACAAGGGCGACAGGATGGTGTTCCACAGCAAGAGGTACCAATGGTGGGAGGAATCCCGAGCGTGGTTTACTGCCTTTGACGAAGGTGGGGGGGGGGGGGGGGGGGAATAGGCTGCTTCGACCTCGCGAGGTGGAAATTAGGGTTGAAGAAACGGAGGTTCACCCGGCTCGTCGAGGTACTTTTCATTACCAGCAATCTCGCTTGGATTTTCCGTTCTTCACGGGTGAGAATCCGCGAGATTGGATCTGGAAGTGCGAGAAACTTTTCCATATGTACAAGATTGCGGACGAGGAATCGGTGGACGTAGCAGCGTTTATCGGGATAGGCGGGCAGATACATGGTTCACTGGTTGGTGTGTGGGTCGTCACGAGAAGAGATGGGGTGAGTTCGTGGCGGGCTTCTGTGATAGATTCGGTGACTTTTCCTTAGGAGGAGTCGTCAGAGAGTTCAATAATCTACGACAACGGGGTACTTTAAGGGAGTACCAGGAGAAATTCGACGAACTTCGTTCATTGATGCTCTCCTAGAATCCTGCCTTGACGGAGGACTACTTTGTCTCCAGCTTCATCAGTGGGTTAGAGGAGGAATTGCGTCCGGTTGTCACGATGATGGAGCCGCAGACCTTGAATCAAGCATTCAACTTTGCTCGATTGGAGGAAGCTTCTAACGAGGCACGACAGAAGAAACCAAGATAGCAACCCCGACTTCCATTGATCAGTTCGAGCAACTTCAACTCAGCAGTTAAGCGTGGCGAGTACCCTAAAAATTCTGAACCCCTGTCTGGACCTTCTTCTAGCAAGCGCAATATGAGTAAGGGTGCTTGCTACAAATGCGAGGAAAGATATTTTTACGGCCATGTGTGTGAGGCAGCGAAGAAGCAATTGGTAGCCCTGTAGGCGGAGGATGAAGATGTCGTGGCTCCACTGCCTTGGAGTGACGATGAGGATGAATTGGTGCTGGATACAGTAGGGAACCAGGAGCCAGAAGAGGTAACAATGTAGGCGTTGAGCAGTGGAGGAATGACTAATTCTTTGGTTGTGAAGGGTAGGGTCAAGAAACACAAGTTGATGATTCTGGTGGACACTGGAAGTACCCACACCTTCCTAAATACTTCCATAGTGGAGGAACTCCAGTGTTCTGTTGCACAAGCCCCACCTTTGCGGGTTAAATTGGCTGACGAGACCATTCTGATGAGCAATTCAGTTTGCAAGTCTTTCGCGTGAGTGATGCAAGGCCATGATTTCTGCTATGACACTCGGGGTTTTGAATCTGGGAAGCCATGATATGGTGTTGGGGTTAGATTGGTTACGGACTATAAGTCCTGTGAAGTTTGACTTCGTGAATTTGCAGCTGTTTTTTGATTTGGCGGGACAGGAAGTGGTCTTGGCTGAAGAACAGGAGTTGGGAAGCTGTAAAGCTCTCTCGGGAAGAGGATTGCAGAAGCTACTCAAGAAGAAAATGAAGGGTTGGACTAGCCATTTGTTCAGTATCACTGAAGTGAAGCCACCAGGTGAGATACCTCCTTTTCTGTTGCCTGTTGTTTCTAAATACTTAGATGTATTTGGCAAGCCTAAGACCCTCCCACCCTCTAGAACCTGCAACCATACCATTCCACTCCACCCAAACTCCCAACCAGTTAACCTACGACCCTATAGATACCCCATACCACAGAAAGACATTGTAGAAAAAATGACCGACGAAATGCTAGAATCCAAACTTATTCAAAATAGTAAGAGCACCTTTGCTTCCTAGTTCTGTTGGTATCCCAAAAAGATGGCACACATCGTTTCTGTGTGAACTATCGACAGTTAAATGCTCTCACCATCAAAGATAAGTTCCCAATCCCAGTAATAGATGACTTACTCGATGAATTAAGGGGGTCTAAATTCTTTACAAAGCTGAACCTCTTATCAGGGTATCACCAAATTAGAATGAACCCAACCGATCAACATAAAACAACATTCCAGACTCATCATGGTCATTTTGAGTTCCTAGTGATGCCATTTGGCCTAACCAATGCACCAGCTACGTTCCAAGCCTTAATGAACTCCATTTTTGCTCCTTACCTTAGGAAATTCATCCTAGTTTTCTTTGACGATATATCGGTGTATAGTCCAGATGAGTCCAGTCATGCCAAACATTTAGAACTCACCCTAGTTGTCCTTCGACAACACACACTCTTTGCTAAACCCTCTAAATGTTCCTTTGGCCAAACACATGTTGAGTATTTGGGACACACTATCAACAGTGAGGGGGTGTCCACTGATTCTAGTAAAATAGCAGCAATGGACTCTTGGCCAACTCCTAGAAATGTGAAGGAATTGAGAGGATTCCTAGGTCTAACAGGCTATTACAGGAAATTTGTTAGACATTATGGCTTAATCAGTAAACCATTGACTGACTTGTTGAGGAAAGATAGCTTCAGGTGGACTTCTGCAGCCGATCAGGCATTTCAGCAGCTTAAGCATGCCATGACTCATCTCCTTGTATTGGCCTTACCTGACTTTACTAAACCCTTCACACTGGAAACATATGCAAGTGAGTTGGGAGTGGGGGATGTCCTGTCCCAAGAAGGAAGACCTATTGCATATCTAAGTTAGGCTTTGGGAGTAAGACAACAAGGTCTTTCCACCTATGAGAAGGAGTACCTAGCGGTGCTCTTGGCTGTCACTAAGTGGCGTCATTACCTGGAGGGCAGACCCTTTGTTATCCTCACAGACCATGAGAGCCTCAAGCATCTGCTTGGGCAGAAGGTTCATACCCACATTCAGAAAAAGGGACTGGTGAAATTTATGGGTCTGGATTATGACATCCGGTATCGACAAGGGAAGTTTAATGATAACGATGTAATTGCACATGTTTGCGCCCCTAGTTCTTATCCGTTTGAGGGGCATAGTCGTGTGTTTTGGCCTATTTTACGCCGGGTTGTGCTATTTTGTCATGTTTCAGGTCCCAGGTGTCAAAGGGAAGGCTGAGCGCGAGTTTCGGGGCATTCGGAAGGCATTTCGGTGAGCTGGAGCCAAAACACGGGCAGCCTAAGGCATTACAAGGCCGTGTGAAGTAATGGCCTGGCCGTGCGAGTTTTGCCGAGAGCACACACGGGCAGAGCAGAGGATCGACACGGCCGTGCATGTGGCCGGGTTGGCCATGCCACATTCTGCGAGAGCAAACACGGGCAGGAAGGAGAGTTCACACGGCCGTGCCATTCTGGCCGTGCAAAGAGCCTGGAATTCGAACTAAATGAAACGATGCGTTTTGACTCACACGGGCAACTGGGTGAGCTGCACGGCCGTGCCACCCTGGCCGTGTGAGTCGGGATTTTCTCCTTTTAAGCAGAATTTCAGCCACAATTCGGGGGGATTCGAGTTTTTGAGAGAGAGATCAGTTCCTAAAGAGAGAAAGTGACGAGCAAGAGTTCCCAAGTGCCCTAGATTGATCTTCAACACCATTGGAGGCCAGTTTGAGCTTGGAGAAGTGCCAATCAACGACCAGAAGCAGGAATCCATCCTTCGCAGTATGAATTCCGTGTCTGATTCTGCTTTTGCTTTCTTCTCCATGGAGTAGTTCTCCCATTCATCTGGGTATGGAGAACCCTAGATTTGTATGTTAGGCTTTGATTGTATGAACCCAAGTACTGATTCTGTGATTGATTATATTCGATTGAGGTTTTAATGATTGAATGACTTGAATCCTGATCAAATTCCTGTTGTTTCTGCTTTAACCTAGAATGAGAATATCTGCCTAGGTTAATAGAGTATCCTTGATTGAAGGTAGGGAGTTGGTGACTTTAGTCGAGGAGCCAACTCACTATTCTGTACCGGATTTACTCCGGTAGTGGAGGTTTTGTTCTTAGGGCCTCAATCTGTCTACTCCGGTGGAGGTTAGTCGCCCGCTAGAGATTCAGATTGAGAGGGTCTGAAGACCTTTAGTCGAGACTTCAGGCTGTTTGAGTACCTTCCGCAGTTTAACTATCATAGAAACTGAACTTGGTAATTACAATCCGGCTTAACTGCAGTCTAGGGGGAACCATATCCGGGTGACCTCTTTAACCTGAATACAACCGTTTACTTGCTTTGTTAGTTTGTTAGTTTAGACTTGCATTCCAGTTTCATTGCTAGATAACAAGAATTCACTGAGTAGTCATCACATCTAGGACACGGGTTGATAATTAAACCCAAACCCGCTATACTACGCTTTAGGAAGTGGTTTCACTTGGCCAATTCCTAGAGTGACAGTAGAGTCGAGTCAAGTTTTTGGCGCCGTTGCCGGGGACGGCTAGGTTGTTGAAGAAAAGTGATTTCTGTTAATTTAGCTTTTCTTTTTGCTTTGTTTGCTTTGTCCCACTTGTGCCTTCACGGGTTTGCTTGCTTGAGTGTGTGCAGGTAGTGCATGACCCGTAGCCAGTCAGGAGATTTACTGCCATTGAATCCAGAGATTGACTGCACCTGTCGCCAGCTCAGGAGACAACAGCGAGCTAGACTGGCTACGGAAGAGCGCATAGACGGCCACCTGAGTAGCGATTCTGAAGAAGAGCACGGGATGGACGGAGACTACAACCAACACCAGGGGAATCCACAGCAGGTTCCCCCGGTGAATCAGGTCCTGGGGAACAACCCCATACCCCAGGACCATGGAGTTCATCATCCCCCGCAGCCGGGTCCCACCTTGGAGTACTACTACACTCCTCGGATTGCTGACATCCGCCCGGTCATCCTCTACCCGCCTATCCCAGCAAACAATTCGAGATCAAGCCATGCTGGATTCAGTTCATTACATCTTCTATCCAGTTCCATGGCTTGAAGAATGAGGAGGCCAGGGTGCATCTTTCCCGTTTTCTGCAGCTGAAGAACGGGTTCAAGCTGAATGGAGTCCCCGATGATGCGATCCTCCTTCATCTCTTCCCCCAATCTCTGGCGGGTAATGCTAAGAGGTGGTTGGAGACCCAGCCCCATTGTCCATCACCTCTTGGGACGATCTGGCTGACAAGTTCGTGCACAGGTACTATCCGGCATCGAAGACTACAGAGATTCAGCGGGAGATCACTCACTTCCGCCAGGAGCCAGAGGAGTCACTTCGTGATGCTTGGGAGCGGTATATGGGCTATTTCTGGCAGTGCCCCCATCATGGCTTCAGCGATGCATTCACAGTGGGGAACTTCTACAGTGCCCTTTCTACAGATAGCCAGAGGGTGATTGAGTCTCTATGCCCAGGAGGAGATATTCTCACTAAGACTCCACCCGAGCTGAACCAGATGATCAGTACTTTGGCTGCCAGAGATCATTCTTGGGGACAGGGTAGCCGAGGCAGACAGTCTCGGGACCGTGGGGTGCACGCCATGGAGACCAGATCCGGGCTCGAGCAGCAGGTAGCTGAGCTAGTGCAGACATTGAAGCAGCCCAACAGTCTGATTCCGGGCAGAGGTTTGGCTACACCTCTAGTAGCTCAATGTCAGTGGTGTGAGAGCTCCAATCACCTAGTGGAGGACTGCCAGGCTATGAGGGAGTCTACCACACCCCAGGAGCAGTTGGCTTTCATCGCCAATGCGCGGCGCCTCGATCCATACAGTAGCACATATAATGAGTGGTGGCGCCAGCATCCCAACTTCGCCTGGAGCAGCAACACCACTAAACCACCTGGTATCCCAGCACCAGCAGGTGGTTTTTAGCAGAGGCAGCCCTTCCAGGCTCGCCAGGGGCCAGACCCACAGCAGCAGCCTTACCAGCCTAGGCAGGGGCAGCCATTCCAGCAGCCCCAGCGCCAGTTTGCCGAGCCAGTAGCAGCTCCGGCCCCAGATGACAGGATGACGAAGCTGGAAAACATTCTAGCTTCATTCATGACTAGCACCCAAGCTGCTATCACATCACTGGAGGCAGGTCAGCGGAACCAGGGTGCCATTTTGCAGGATCTGCAGACCCAGGTGGGCATCTTGGCCCGCCAGAGCACCACCAGGGCACCGGGGACTCTGCCTGCCACCACTGTTCCTAATCCTCGAGAGCCTCACCAGCATCAGCAGCTGGATGCCATTTTTACCAGGAGCGGTAAGACCATATCTGCTGATCCTGTCCCGGCCAGACAGGAGGAACCACTGACTGCTTCAGCACTTCCAGCCGACGATGCAGAAGTGCGGGTGGAGAAGGAAGCCCCTACTCCCAAGCCACAACCAGTGGTTAAGGAGCATGTACCCCAGCTTCCCTTCCCCACTCGCCTATACAAAGACAAGCTGGAGACTGAGTTTGCCAAGTTCATGGCAATGTTGAAGCAGCTCAACATCAGCATACCGTTCATGGAGGCACTATCGAAGATGCCTAAGTATGCCAAGTTCATGAAAGATATCTGCACCAACAAGAAGAAACTTGGGGATCTTTCGACAGTAATGCTCAGTGAGGAGTGTTCTGCTATCCTGCAGAACAAGCTGCCCGAGAAGCGCAAGGATCCAGGGAGTTTTACTATCCCTCTTACTATTGGCAGCATGCATGTAGGAAAGTCCTTGGCGGACCTAGGCGCTAGCATTAACGTCATGCCATATAAGTTGTATAAAATGCTAGACCTAGGTGAACTTAGCCCTACTAGGATGAGCATTCAATTAGCTGATCATTCTATTGTGCATCCTAGGGGAATCATAGAGGATCTGCTTGTTGGTGTTGGTGCATTCACATATCCTGTTGATTTTGTTATTCTTGATATACATGAGGATGTGGATGTGCCCTTGATTCTAGGTAGGCCATTTCTTGCCACCGCCAAGGCACTAATTGATGTGCATGATGGTAAGTTGATCTTGCATGCTGGGGATGAACATGCTACTTTTTCTGTGACTGAGTTTGATCACTGTGCTATGATTGCTGTCACGCCTGTGCATGCTATGTCTGATCAGGTACACGAGTCTGTCGTGTACCCTTCTGCACCTCCTATTTTGCAGGACCCTCCTATCATTCCTTCGCTGCCACTCCATCCAGCCTCGCCTCCGAACAAAAAGCTCAAGGAGGAGTGGCGGCCGAAGCAGCAGGTTGCTAAGCCTGCACGGAAGAAGAGTGGAGACCACTATGAGCTGGTCCCACCTCCTGCACCACGACCACCCTGGCCGTCTGGGTACTCGCTCTCCTGCATCTTGCCAGATGGGCAGGTCGAGCTGACTGATGAGGGTGGTCGCATCCGTCGGGTGCATGGCCACAACCTGAAGCTGTACCTCAAGAGCGACGTGGATCCGCTCTTGGAGGCACCTGTTCCTGCACCGTCCTGAGTATCCACCATGGGCGTCCAGCTAAAAGACGCTAAAGAAGCGCTTGTGGGGAGGCAACCCCACTACGGTTTGATTTTCTTTCTTGTGTTTTGAGTCGGATTGTAACCCGGTTTGGGTTTGGTTTGTTTTCTTTTGGTTTGGATGATATTTTATTGGGCTGACCATTGAACCTAACATATTGTGTTTGAGCTCTTCTGTTTCCCTTTGGCTGTGCTTGTCCCGACTGGCCCGTTTCCAGTCTCCTGCAGTCCGTGTATACCGGTAACATCGTTCCCCTTATCCTTCCCTCTTCTCCATTGAGGGCAATGTCGAGCTTAAGTGTGGGGGGATGTTTATCTTTTGACTGCATTAGATCTGTTTGTGTGCTTGGAGCCTAGTCCACTGTCCAAATTTTTAAATTTGAGGGCTCCAAGTACGTGTTCCTTGCAATTGCCTGCTCAGTATGCTTTGAATTAACAGTCTTTATAGTAATATGCAACCTAGGGAGGTAGTGTAGCACTATGGAGGATGTTGATGCATTTAAGAAGTCTCATTTCTTCTTCATATTGTGTTGGTTGATTGAGTGAATTAGTGATCTTAGGACCCTTGAATTGTGTGATGTTGTGGATTTTCTAACTGTCATGGACTCTTGTGTCATGTTTTGAAAATAACAGGTGCTCGAAAATGTGCTTGAAAATAAACGTCTCCCGTGCGAATAGGGCGAAAGTGTGTAAGGGGAGACGGGAATTCGTTCCCAATTTCCACCTACTACCTCCAGCCCCCTTACATGTCTTTCCCCCGCACGAGGCTCGAGACATCCGCTCCTGGCATGGCCGGTAAGAGCAGGTTGGGACCCTTGAAAAGAAAAAAAGAAAAGAAAAATAACAGAAAACAAGCAAAACAGAAAAAAAGGGGTTCCAACCATCTTCAAAGAAAATCGAGCACCTTGAAAAATGTGAGTCCATGATCTGTTGTTTTTGAGAATCTCTCCATCCACGATTCATTTGTCCTCTGTTCACTTTTTGCCATGATGCCGACTCGATAAGAAGCTTTGAGATGACTTGTGCGTCGGTTGACCTCGTAAGCTGCTAAATGACCTAGGAAGTCCTCTACTTACGATCTGGGTTGTTTGTTGCTATGAAGGTCTGGAGAGTTGCATTGGTTTGAGTTAGGTTTGCTTGGGGACAAGCAAACGGTTAAGTGTGGGGGAGTTTGATAACGATGTAATTGCACATGTTTGCGCCCCTAGTTCTTATCCGTTTGAGGGGCATAGTCGTGTGTTTTGGCCTATTTTACGCCGGGTTGTGCTATTTTGTCATGTTTCAGGTCCCAGGTGTCAAAGGGAAGGCTGAGCGCGAGTTTTGCGGCATTCGGAAGTCATTTCGGTGAGCTGGAGCCAAAACACGGGCAGCCTAAGGCATTACACGGCCGTGTGAAGTAATGGCCTGGCCGTGCGAGTTTTGCCGAGAGCACACACGGGCAGAGCAGAGGATCGACACGGCCGTGCATGTGGCCGGGTTGGCCGTGCCACATTCTGCGAGAGCAAACACGGGCAGGAAGGAGAGTTCACACGGCCGTGCCATTCTGGCCGTGCAAAGAGCCTGGAATTCGAACTAAATGAAACGATGCGTTTTGACTCACACGGGCAACTGGGTGAGCTGCACGGCCGTGCCACCCTGGCCGTGTGAGTCGGGATTTTCTCCTTTTAAGCAGAATTTCAGCCACAATTCGGGGGGATTCGAGTTTTTGAGAGAGAGATTAGTTCCTAGAGAGAGAAAGTGACGAGCAAGAGTTCCCAAGTGCCCTAGATTGATCTTCAACACCATTGGAGGCCAGTTTGAGCTTGGAGAAGTGCCAATCAACGTCCAGAAGCAGGAATCCATCCTTCGCAGTATGAATTCCGTGTCTGATTCTGCTTTTGCTTTCTTCTCCATGGAGTAGTTCTCCCATTCATCTGGGTATGGAGAACCCTAGATTTGTATGTTAGGCTTTGATTGTATGAACCCAAGTACTGATTCTGTGATTGATTATATTCGATTGAGGTTTTAATGATTGAATGACTTGAATCCTGATCAAATTCCTGTTGTTTCTGCTTTAACCTAGAATGAGAATATCTGCCTAGGTTAATAGAGTATCCTTGATTGAAGGTAGGGAGTTGGTGACTTTAGTCGAGGAGCCAACTCACTATTCTGTACCGGATTTACTCCGGTAGTGGAGGTTTTGTTCTTAGGGCCTCAATCTGTCTACTCCGGTGGAGGTTAGTCGCCCGCTAGAGATTCAGATTGAGAGGGTCTGAAGACCTTTAGTCGAGACTTCAGGCTGTTTGAGTACCTTCCGCAGTTTAACTATCATAGAAACTGAACTTGGTAATTACAATCCGGCTTAACTGCAGTCTAGGGGGAACCATATCCGGGTGACCTCTTTAACCTGAATACAACCGTTTACTTTCTTTGTTAGTTTGTTAGTTTAGACTTGCATTCCAGTTTCATTGCTAGATAACAAGAATTCACTGAGTAGTCATCACATCTAGGACCCGGGTTGATAATTAAACCCAAACCCGCTATACTACGCTTTAGGAAGTGGTTTCACTTGGCCAATTCCTGGAGTGACAGTAGAGTCGAGTCATTTAATAAGGTGGCTGACGCACTATCTAGACACCCTGAGTTCAGTGATGGGAAATGTGAAGCTGTGATCGCGGTGCTTCCCACCTGGTTGACTGAAGTTGAAGCTACTTATGAAGGTGACATTTGGGTTCAGGAGGTCATGCTGGAGGCTGCTGTTCCTAGTGTGGGGCCTCGCATCAACAGTTTTAAACAGGTGTTGCTATACCATAAAAGTGCAGTATACACTGGGAGGCACTACGCGGCAACAATTGCTAGAGTTGTTTCATGAGTCTCTAGTAGGGGGTCATTCAGGACTCTAGGCTACTTACCAGCGGCTGAAGCAGTATTTTTGGTGGCCAGGTCTGAGACTGACATTAAACGGTTCATTTCTCATTGTTAGATTTGCCAGCAGTGCAAGAGTGAGAATGTGCCCTATCCTGGGTTGCTACAACCCTTACATGTTCCTAAGAGGGCTTGGCAGCACATCTCGATGGACTTTGTGGAAGGTTTGCCTAAGTCAGCAGGAAAGGAAGTGATTCTGGTGGTCATCGATCGCTTTTCCAAATATGGACATTTTTTTGCACTCAGCAGACCCTTTACAACGGCAACCGTGGCACATGTGTTTTTGGATAGTGTGTTTCGGTTACATGGGATACCTCAAACGATAGTGTCGGACAGGCATGCTCTTTTTACTAGCAACTTCTGAACCAGTCTCTTTTCTTTTCAAGGAACCAGGTTACATTACTCGACTGCCTACCATCCTCAGACAGACGGGCAGACGGAGCGACTTAATCGTTGCTTGGAGGATTACTTGAGGTGTATGGTGTTGAATGGAAACAAATCCTGGGCTGCTTGGCTTACGATGGCGGAGTGGTGGTATAATACTAACTTTCATTCCAGTTTACAGGTGACTCCTTTTGAAGCATTGTATGGATATCCCCCTTCCCACTTTGCTGTCCAGAACCCTTTGTCTACACCAGTGGCAGCAGTCAAGGAACAACAACGACTAGTGGGATTGCTTCGACATAATCTGGCCATGGCCCAAAACCGGCAGAAACAGATGGTGGATCGTCATCACACAGAACGTGAATTTGCAGAGGGGGATTGGGTCTACTTGAAGCTGAGACCATATAGGAAGCAGTCTATGGAGCAGACGAGTCAACAAAAGCTTGCTCCTAACGGGCCTTTCTTGGTGTTGCAAAACGTGGGGAAGGTCACTTACAGGTTGCAGCTTCCAGCTGGATTTGTATCCACCCAGTCTTTCACATTTCCCTTCTCAAGCAGGCTCGAGGAACTTGTTTGCAGGTGCAACCAACCATGCCAGAAATGGATGAACATGGTACTCTGAAGCTGGAACCAGTGGCTATTTTGGCAAGAATATTTGTGGCTCGACGTAACCAAGCTGCTACTCAGGTGCTGGTGCAGTGGAGTCACCAATTGGAGGAGGACGCTACATGGGAATTCCTTGATGAATTCAAACAGAAGTTTCCAGCATTTCCAGGTCTGATGTTGACTTGAGGACAAGTCAAAGTTGAAGGGGTGGGGTTTTGTCACAGATAGGACCAAGTTGTAAATAATACAAGATAAAGGACTGCTATTGTAATTGGCCAGGCGGTGCGTATTGTGTGTACTCAGTTGACTGGGTTACTAAAACACTGGGTAGAGCTTGTTAGAGATAATAAGAAAATACAACTACTTTTTCCCTCCTAGTCTCTCTCTCTACTCCTCTCTCTCTTCTTGTTCTTCTTTGTTCTTCTTCTTCTCTCTTATCACCGAGTTGAGCCCAGGTAGTGACAGACTGTCCCCTTGTTCCCCCACAAACGGTGCCACAACAAGGGGAAGAAGAAGCTAGTCGGGTGGATCCTTGGCTCCTCGCTGGAGATCATCGGCCGAGCTAGGTGTGGCAAACTTTACAGAGCGGAGTTGCCTGGAAGCGACGGGACAAATGATCGTGATTAAAAAGTAACCCAACGGTGCAAAGATCATGCTGATTTTACCGTGGAGGAATTTAATAATTTAATAATAAATAAATTATCAAAGTTGACCTGCTGATGTAGCATTTTCCGTGGACCGTCACATCATAATATCTCTCCACGTCAACATAACATCTGTCAACTCACCATCATCTAATGGAAGTGCTAATGGAGACTTAACGATTGACTATTATTTTGTATTTTGATAGTTGTGGCTATTATTCCCCGTTGGTCCTAGATGTCCGGTTTGTTGAGCATAGACAGAAACAATGGAACATTTATTTCTTTATTCTCCACTGGCCCGCGCCCTTTGGGACCATTCAGGCTTGGAATATCTTGGACAAGGGTTGCCTCGTCAAACTTTCACGTTTTTCTAAAAAAGTTGATGGCTCTTATACACCAACCTACGTTGTTCATGGCAGTAGTCGTTGTCCTTTGGAGGATCTGGCGATCTCGTAACTGGGTTGTCTTTGAGGGAAAGCAGTTTGGGATCCCGACACTAATGCAACAATTTCACCAACAGTTAGAGGAATGGGTAAGTTTGCCAATGGACCATGTTTTTCTTCCCTCCACTCCTTTGACACATCACTTGAGTCCTGGGGGGCTAACCTGGTGGTGTGCATGTGGGATGGGGCCCGGAGTGGGTCTCCCTCGGAAGGAGGGATGGTGCTTATGACCCCAGCTAGGGAGATCCTGTTGGCTAATGGGGTCCAGTTTTTGTGGATTGATGACCCTATGGTGGTGAATTGCTTGTGCTGCGAGAGGCTGTTTGCTGGTGTCTAGATCATGGATTTTCAGAGGTTAGTTTTGAGGGAGATGCCAAAGTAATCATTGACAAGATCAATCATGCGCAGACTGGTGATAACCGGATGGGGGCTGTTCTTGAAGAAGTAGTCTTTTTTTGCCTCTCGGTCTGGGTTTAGTGTGCGAGTCTCCAACTATGAGTCATTTCTTCGATTTCCAGGCCTGGCTGAACTTTAGGATGTAACTATCTTTTTTTTGTGAATCAATACGTGATTATCTTTTGTAAAAAAAAAATTCATGGCAATCAAGGAGATTGCCTAAGGCATCCAGGAAGCGGAGATGCATGGATTTCAATCCATTATTATCAAGATGGATTGCGAGATCGCATTTCTTGATCTCTAGAGGGCGGAGAAAACAAGAACGGAAGCCGTACTGCTACTTCTTGAATTGCATGAAGAGGTAGAGAGAATTGGTTCAATACGGCGGTGTTTTGCGAAGCACAAGTGTAATGTGACACCCATGTCATGGCCCAGATTAATTGTCATTGAGAAGCCCAGTAATTTTGGGTTTCCATGTCACTAGTTTTTTTCCCTCCAATTTGAATAAGGAGTCCACGATGCATTAATAAGTGTAATCGGTTTGAATGTTATGTTTTGCATTGAGTAGGAGAGTGGTTTAAGTACCAAACTCCACAACAGAACATGTAACCACGTAGCTACAAATGAGGATAACAAACTAGCCACTACTCCACTAATTACAATGAATAAATAGAAAAGAAATAATCTAATATTCCTTATCACGCCCCCGCAAGATGGTGGCGGGAACAACACCAATCTTGGAGCGAAAACGGGTGACCGGCAATGGTTTGGTTAAGGAATCTGCAAGCTGGTAAGCGGTGGGGACGTGGTGAACCAGGAGCTTCTTGGACTGCACTAGATCACAAACGAACAAGTCTTCAAGAGCGAGATGCTTCATGCGGGAGTGATGAATCGGATTTGCTGAGAAATTGACGGCACCGAGATTATCACAATAGAGAGTAGGAAGAGACGGAACTGGTTGATGAAGCTCGTGCAGCAAATTTTGAATCCACAACACTTCGGACGTTGCATGGGCGAGAGCGCGGTACTCAGCCTCGATACTGGAACGAGTAACGGAGCGTTGTTTCTTCGACTTCCAAGAGATGAGATTACCGCCATAGTAGACAAGGAACACCATGGTGGAGGTACTATCATTGGGATCACCTGCCCAATCAGAGTCACCAAAGGCAGTGAGAGTGGGTGTCGAGGTGGAAGTGAGGCGAAGACCGTGATTGATGGTGCCTTTAAGTAGAATCAGGTCCTTCACATGTTGCCAATGAAGCTCAGTAGGAGCATGCAGAGGTGGAAGTGAGGCGAAGACCGTGATTGGGAGAGCTTGTTGACGGCAAAGGCAATGTTGGGTCGAGTGCAGAGTAAATATTGCAAAGAACCCAGTGCCTGCTTGTAGAGTATGGTGTTGGCAGGAGGCGTGCCATCATCGAGCAGCAGCTTGGCGGTGGCGGAGAGGGGAGTTGGAGCAGGACTGGCATTAAGCATGTCGAACCGGTCCAACAAATCATGAATATACTTATTTTAGCAGAGTAGATACCTGATGAAGTTGGGAGAACTTCAATACCAAAGAAATAATTCACCCTGCCGAGTGTCTTGAGAGAAAACCGAGATGCAAGGCGAGCTTGGAAATGAGCAAGGGTAGGCTCATGATTCCCTGTGAGAAGAAGATCGTCAACATACAACAGAAAATAGAGAGTAACGGAGCCCTTGTGATAGACAAATAACGATGCATCGAATTTTGTCTTGACAAAACCCTCTTCCTCAAAAAACCCATAGAGAACCATATACCAAGAGCGCGGGGCTTGGTGGAGGCCATAGATAGGGCGAGAGAGGCACAAACATGATCAAGATGATCAGGATCACGAAATCGGGGTGGCTGAGACATATACACTGTTTCCTAAAGGGAGCCTTGAAGAAAGGCATTGTTGACGTCGAACTACAGTATGGGCCACTGGTGGGAAAGAGCAACAGAGAACACCATGCGGAGAGTGAAGAGCTTGAGAACTGGACTATAAGTCTCATGGAAGTCGATGTCGGGCCGTTGAGAGAACCCTTTGGCCACCAAGCGGACCTTGAACCGGTCAATAGAGCCATCCGGATGGCATTTAATACAAAAATCCACCTGCAGCCAACAATATTGAAGCCAAAAGGTCGAGGAACAAAAGACCATGTGTGATTGCGCATGAGAGCTAGAATCTTTGCTCGCTAGCTCTCATGGCGGTATTCCACCGCGGGTCGGCAAGGGCTTGCTCAGAGCCGTCCCATGATATTTGGAGGTCCTATTCGAAAATTTAACATGTAGTCCTTAATTTTTTTCTCAATAAATTTATTAAAAATAAAATTTATTACATAATTATAAAGTACATAAGTTCAAAAAATGATTTCAAAATGAATAAACAATCTCACTTCCTGTTTTACCCAGAAACCAAGACCAAATTCTCACTCCTAGCATGGAGGGAGAAAAGTAAATCTGGAGGGAACAAAAAATGGATATAGAGCAAAAATTGAATGGAGAAATGAAAATAATATAAATTGAACGAGAGGTGGGTGCGGGTCTATCTAATGGATCGTGTAGGCCCTATTCTAAAATTGAGACATTATCCAAATTGACTTTTAACTATAGTAAAAGTAAAATGATTATAATACCATTATTCAAAATGTAATATCTTTCTTTATTGTTTAAATTAAAATTATCTATTATCTCTATGATTTTTGTATTCTCCAATCCTTTTCAATTGTTATTATAGCTAAAATTATCTATTAAATTCGTCATCATATTCATAATCTATCAATCATACACTAAAACAACAACCTGCAATATTCGATTGGTAACTAACGAATCTTAGTGAAGGCCCCTAATATTCAGAGGCCCTGTGCCGGAGGGCGGGCCGGCACACCCTCTTGGCCGGCCCTGGGCTTGCTTGATCGCGGTGGGCTCAATATCCAAAGGAGAAATATGAGTGTGAAATAACCTTTTTTGGCGGAAGATTCCGCATTGGCTGCGAGTAATGGGTCGGTGCTCAGGTTTGGCCGGTGGAGGGGGCAACTGATGTTGCTGTGAAGATGTAGAGCTGGGGAGCACAACAGGAGGGGATGAGAGGTGATATGGCTCGGCAGTAGTGCTCTGCGCAGGCTGGGAGGACTGAAGAGAAGCAGCGGGTACAGATGGGGAAGGGGAGAGCGAGTAGACAGTGATGGGCGCAGTGGTGAGTGCTACCCAGGTCGGCGGTCATAGGTGGGGTCCGACTTGGAGGATATGTCGGGAAAGACTGTCTTATCAAACTGAACATGGCGGGATGTGAAGAGGCGATGGGTAGTGAGATTGTAACAATGATAAGCACTTTGGGTGAGGGAGTAGCCAAGAAAGATACAACATCGAGAACGAGGTTCTAATTTGTGGGCGGTGTAGGGCCGAAACCAAGGGTAGCAAAGGAAACCAAAAACCCGAAGCTTGAGATAATTGGGTTTCTCTTTTAACAAAAAAAAGGGCAGTCGCCTTGAAGAGAAGTGGAGGGGAGGCGGTTGATTAGATAGATGGCCGTTTGAAAGGCATATGACCAAAACCGAAGAGGAAGATTAGCAGTATGAAGGAGATTCAAGGATAGTCTCAACAATGTGGCGATGCTTACATTCTGCGAGGCCATTGTGCTGGAGCGTGTGGGGAGGCGTTTTGAGGTGAGTGATGGCATGAGTCTGAAAGAATGACACAATTTTTGAAATTCACCACCACAATCACTATAAACACGACGAATCTTGGTATGAAAATAATTTTCAATCATCGCTTTGTATGTAGTAAAGACATGATGAACATCAGATTTACGACAAAGAGGATACATCCAAGAATATCGTGAAAAATGATCAATGATGACTAAATAATAAGAATAATTGTCATGAGAAAGAATAGGGGAAGGCCCCCAAACATCCATATATAACAAATTAAATGGGCGGGAACTTGTAAGACTAGAAACGGAGAAAGGGAGTTTGCGACTTGTATTGAGAGAGCAAGAGTCGCATGAGGAACATGATGAAAAAGATATGACATGAAGAGATTGATTACGCAACACTCGAGAGAGAAGCTTGGTATGAGAATGTCCCAGCCGGTTGTGCTAAACAGCAGGAGAGAGTAGTGTCACAGAAGACAATGCAAGTCCAACAGGGGGAGAATCCGATGGGAGCTCATACACATCACCTCTATTCGGGCCTGTAGCAGGTGCGCCCCCGTGGCAAGATCCTTTACAACAAAACAATCAAAAAAAGAATTCCTCAGAAACCGGATTAGATTTGAATAATTGAGCAACATAGAGTAAGCGACGTTTTATAGTCGGCACACAAAGAACATCACCAAGAGATAAACGTGACCCAGCCTGAGACAAATGAGAGTGGCCAATATGGTAAATATGCAGACCTGACCCGTCGCCAATAAGGACCACATCCAGGCCGTTGTAGTCGGTGTAAAGAGAGAGATTACCGAGGTCTGGGGTCATATGATTTGTGGCAACTAAGTCGACAATCCAGCCTACTGAGGAAGAGGCTGAGGCGGTGTGATGAGCTTGAGGACGGCCTTGAAGTCAATAGAAATCCTTAGCGATGTGGCCAGGTTTGTAACAAATTTGACAAAAGAGCTGAGGGCGACCGAGAAGAGAGGGGCAGCAGCTGGAGTACTGGCCACGGGGCCGCCTGGGACTGGAGTCACGCCTATAGGAGACGTCATAACCAGGGGATGAAGAGCGGCGAGGAGCACTAGAATTTCGAAAATCAGCAGGATAATTGGGGCGACCACGAGCAGTAGAAAAAACAGTGGTTAGAGTGGGAGAGTTGGGAACACGGATTGCGACGAGATCTGCTTTGAAATCGACAAGACAATCGTGAAGATCCTGGATGGCAATTGTGGTGTCGCGGGCACAGATGGCTTCTGCAAGCTGGCCGCATTCTTCGCGAAGCCCACGAAGGACAGGAGAATCATGTCTTCAGACTTAACATGAGAGTCAACAAGCGCTAATTCGGCCGCAGTGGTGCGCATTGCTTGGAGATACACCACCATCGGGCGATTCCCTTGAGTCTTGGGAAGAAGCTTTTCCTTAAGATTCATAATCCTCTGACGAGATTGCATTGCAAACATCTGCTCTAAAATAGTCCAGGCCTGTCGATAGGAGGTCGCAGCAGAGACATATGGGGCGACATCAGGCGAGACAGATGCAAGGATGGAATGAAGGAGGAGCTGGTATTGCCTATACCAGTGACGTCGCTCGGCAGCAGGGGCTGTAGCAGCTGGTTCTGGGTGAGTCCCATCCAAAAACCGGAGAAGATCTAGTCCACTAAGGAGAGTGAAGAGTTGTGCCCCCCATGTAGGAAAATTGTCACTAGTCAGCTTAGTCGGGAACTGCGACGCAGGGTTTAGTGTGATGATGGTGTTGGTGTCTTCAAGATTAAGAACCGATTCACCAGATTTGGTCGACATGGTGATTTCCAGCAGTAGAGAGGAGAAGCTACGTGGGACAAAGAAGAAAGAAGAAGAAAAAGAAGGAAAGAAAGATAACTCGTAAAGAAGGAAAGAGAGGAGTTTGATTAGGTTAAGGAGATCGGAGCTCTAGCTCTGATACCATGTAATTGGTTTGAATGTTGTGTTTTGCATTGAGTAGGAGAGTAGTTTAAGTACCAAACTCCACAACAAAACATGTAAACACGTAGCTACAAATGAGGATAACAAACTAGCCACTACTACACTAATTACAATGAATAAATAGAAAAGAAATAATCTAAGATTCCTTATCCATAGGAACATATGTTATTATAAAAAAAATCCCGGCAAATCAACTAAAACACTTTAGGCTGTCACTTCAAAGTGCATACATAATTATACTCTAACTACTCAATTTCAATCTATTCAAGCTAAATTTGAGAGCCAAAATCACTAGCATTCGGGTAGTTAATAGAACTCTGCACTCTAATACTCGCTATAAAGTGAAAACTATGACAAAAATGGCTTCTAACAGTCAAATTTGAATTCCAACGACCATATTTTTCAACTACTATTTAACAATCATTTTTCTCAACTCTATAAATAACATTTCGGCAATGCCCCTTTTCAATCTCATTCCAAGAAAGTGAATTCTTTGAATTTGAAATGGATTGTCGAGAAAAACATAAATGAACGATCTATATATAGGCCTCTCCTAAATCTTATGTGTGGTGTGTCCTTGATCAATTGTGAGTAAAATGACTGAGTAACAAATTAAATCCACAAATTAAATAAAAGTTAATGGACCCACCTTAGTTACGCATGAATAAACACATGCAACAATCTGCTCAAATAACATCTTCAAGTGTCGGTTACTTACCTTAATTAGTTGTGTGAAGTACAGAAAAATTAAGGACGCATACTGTCACGACCCGGAATGTCATGACCGTGTTGACCGTCTGAAGAACGCTGTCATATGGTTGTCTTGCCACAATAGGGGTAAAGGGGGCGACATTAGCGATAAGGCGTTGTCTCCCGTGCATCGTTCTAGCCAAGTCAGGATGTGGCTATGAAGTGGATCGTTGCAAGCAAAGGCACAACTGGCCGGAGGCTATTGTAGTTTCCCTGATGAGCCCAAGGCAGGACGAAACCAGTTTGCATGCGTATGCGGAGAGGCTGATCTTGAGGGATGAGTGCACCTCAAGACACTGCACGGGCTTCAGAAGTCTATGTTCGTGACAAGTGTTATCAGAGCTTGGTTAGGCTGAAGAGCCTAGTTCCTTTCTCAGTATGGCATAGGTCGAGTGTGGGCCGACCCTATGCTAGAATGAGAGACGGTCTTGGGTGTGCATCAGGAGGTCCGAACGTAGATACTCATGTGTTGCGCTGTAGTGGGGGACCTCGACAGGTTGGAGAGTGCAGCGGCTGTGAATGCCGTTCAACCGAGGAACTAACGCTTTCAAGAGCGTAGGGTGAAGGTCGACTGAGGTACTAGCGCAGTAGAAGCAAGAGTGAAGATTGATATCGAGGGGCGAAGCAGTATATGAGTGAGGCACAATAGGCTAGCGCAAGAGATGCGAATGGAGCGTGTCCATCAGAGGATGGTATCGTATTCGAAGGCCCACAATCAGTTCGAGTGTTGCAATACATGTTGCGGAGAGAAGCATTCTTCACCAGCACGAGGACGTGCTGCATTATGAGTGGTGGAAAATGTCATGACCCAGAATGTGGTGACCGTGTTGACCGTATGAAGAACGCTGCCATCTGGTTGTCTTACCACAAGAGAGGTAAAGGGGGCGACATTAGCGATAAGGCTTTTTTTTTGCCTGTGCATCATTCTGGGCGAGTTAGGATGATGCTATGAAGGGGATCGTTGCGAGAGAAAGCACAACTGGTCGGAGGCTATTGTTGTCTCCCTGATGAACCCAAGACAGGGCAAAACTAGTTGTCATGCGTATGTGGAGAGGCTGGTCTTGAGAGATGAGTGCACCTCAAGACGCCGCACAGACTTTAGAAGTATATGTTCGTGACAATACCCACTAGTTAGAAATTTATTCATTAGTGGCGGGGTGGTAACGAGGAGTTAAAACCAAAACCCCTCCTTTCCTCACCTTAGAACACGTGGTCACGAGGTGGTAATTTAGGTGACAAAACTTGTTCCAATTTGGTTGTTATGAATAAAAGAGTGAGATGACAAATATATCTCACATTTTGTCCACGTGTAGTAATATTTTTTCCTTCAAAAAGTCATCTTCCAACTAGTAGGGGTGGAGCCAGAATTCTCGATTAGAGGGGCTGAATTTTTTTTCAAGCATACTGGTAAGAAAATTTTATGAGAGAATCTTAATTACATATAAAGAGTTCATAAAACTTTTAATATATGCCACTTAAAATTGTGTCAAAATTAAAAAGTAATGACTTATCTCTTCTGAAATCATGATAAAAGAATCACGTGTTTCATACATCATATATTGACCAATTTCATAATTCACAAATTCGAATACGATCCAATATTAAAAGAAGGTATTCAAGATTTAACCATATATAGACATGAAGATGATAAAATAAAATTATAAGAAATACTAAGATACTTGTAAAGAAATTGACAAAAAAACTAGGGAATGCAGGGAAAATTCTTATTAACTAAAATAAATTTAACTCTCTGCCACACCTAATATCAGTTATGTCCCACATCTTATATTCTTAAGTTACAAGGGTTTTTAAGAATTTAGAAGAGGGAGTCATAGTCACTAAATAAAATCTATGGTTCATTTTTTTCAATAGGAAAAATGAAATCTATGGTTCATAAAAGGGAAAGTAAGGCACTAAATAATATGTAGACTGTTAATATTAGAAATTGGGAGACCAAAGGTTGGGCCGCGTAAGTTACACCGTCAATAACTAAAATGATGTTGGCTGAGCCTTAAAACCACCACACCTTTAATGTATTATCTACTTACAATTTTAGTTATTTTTTGGACTCATGTAAATAGGATGGTGGCTGGTAATTGTTACATCTCTTTTACATGGTCACTTTTTAGTTTTATGGCAATGGCGGCGAGACGGGGTGTTTACCTCATTATCTATATTTCGTTCCATGCTATTGTGAGTTGAGGCGGGTCATATTTATGGATGTATGGGTTGAGAGGGTCAACTAACTCTAACACGTTATTTTTAAAAAAATAAACACAAAAGTTTACTTTTTGCGATAAAACAAAAGAGAAAACACTTTATGAATGAAAAATAGTGATGATAAAATGGATAATTGAGTCTAACTAGGTGAAAGATTAAGTATAACTAGTTGAAAAAAATTCAAAATAGGAGAAATATGAATAGATACTGTAAGAAATTGAGATAAAATTTGCAAAAAAAAAAAAAAAAGAGCGGTACGAGTCAGGGCTGGTCGGAAGAAATACCCATGCACCACTCCATACTACTGCAGATGGAGTCATAATCACCCTATCAAAGTTTAGGTCGGATAATACCCGACAGGGCTGGTTCAAAAAATTAACATCCTATTTTACATGGCAACGAGAGGAGGGGAAGAGGGTAACTTTGTCACATTGACCACTTTCACGGAGTTTCACCAAAGTGGAATGAAGCAAAGAAGGTCAGTGCTAGGGGGTTTAATGATTGGTTGTTTAGCTGAGAGAAGAGGGTAGTAGGGTAAGAGAAGAGGGTAGTAGGGTGGTTCATTACCCTAATCCTAAATTTTTATCCAAATCCTAATTCTCTATCTCAACCTAAATTCATATTCTAAATTCAATTCCCAATTTCACAACTCAATCCGCGAACGCCCTAAATTATGGGATTTCTATCTTCAACTTGTTTTTGCATATATTATTTCATTAACTGTCTGGGCTGAACAAACAAATGAATTTTTTTTCTCAAACACCAAAAAAGAATGAAAGCCAATCCATTGTTGGAATATATTCCAACATTTTCCAAAATTTGTGCAACAATTTTACTCATTCGCAATGCTCATTCGCATAATGGAAGAATCCTCATTAGCCATGTTATCCGAAGAAAGTAATAGCTCGTACCTGTAAGCAAATGGTTTCCTTTTGTGATTAACCATTCAGGATAAGTAAAGGAAGAACAAAAGAGGAACTCTGATAGGGACAGTTATGTAAATTGTATGAACATTATGATGACTGATCGATTCAATTCGTGCAAGTCATTCTCAATAGTTGGCAGGTCTCAATAACTATCCCATCCTAGACCAAGTTTAACCTAGAGTGGCGTTGTCATATAGTGGCAATCAAGGTGATATTCACTCGGGTCTCGGTACACTAGCCTACTTCCCACGTTGTTGTTATCTAATCGATCAGTTTAAGGGTTTGTGATGGAGGATTCAAGCGGCATACTAGTAGAGAGAACAAATAAGGATAAAAGAAGGTACTTAGAAGAACTATCCCTCACCCTAACCTAGGTCTACTATGCAATGCCTAGATAAATAATGTTTGTCGAATGTGGTGGGCGAGCTCTTTTTCGTGGGATTTTGTGGTTATCCACACGCCTCCGAGTACGCCTCCCCTAAACCCATGTCAGTCACCTTGATCTAGGCTATCATATCTGGGGCATTAAACACATAGCTCCTTTCAATGGGTACTACCCACCGTCCACACCGAGGTTTTATCTCGGGTTCTATCTAAGAAGGCATACCTATGGCAGGGGTACAGTCGCCTCGTCCACCATAGGATCCTATTTATACATCTAACCTCAATTTGTTTGATGGCGCATACCCGTCTAGCCCTAAAACTCCATACCCAACATAGAAGCTGAAGTAGGCTAGTAGAGAAGATTAGTGCGACTTACCCAAACACAATGAAAGCTAGAGAAACAATGAAATCAACTAGATAAACACATTCATTCATTATAACCTGAAATATCCATTCATTACATAGTAACCCTAGAAATAGGGTTTGGAGTTTAGAACCCCTAGTACCTTAGAGGACTACTCCATAAAAGAGGGAAGAAGATACATAGAAGAAATTGGGAAAGACTTGATGTTGACGAAGATGACTCCTCTCTTCTAGCTCTTCTTCCTACTCCTTTTCTCCTTCCTTCAGCTTCTCTCTCTTCTTTTTCTCTCTTACCAGATATTCGATCTCAAAATCATATCTCTTGAATGGGTGAAGTGGATCTTCTATTTATAGCCTTCAGAGGATGGAGAAGTTCGCGGCCAGATAGCATGAAGGTCGGTGCTGCGATCTTCCACCTTGAGATCGTGATTTGTCGACGATGTCGTTTTGGCCTCCGGACACAAGGAGTTCACGGGCTCACTTCACGGTTGCGATCCATGAATTGTGGCCGCAAGCTTCCTCACGGTCAATATGAACTGTGGGTATAAGGTATAGAGTATATGGTTAGGGTATAGGGTATAAAGTACAGATGGCTTAGGGTCATGGTTTAGAGTTAGAATGATAAGGACGTATATTCTTCCCAATAACCGAATATTAAATTGACTTAACTTACATTCTTCACATAACATACATTATAGTTTATACCAACAATTTCATAACATATAACTATAGTTCATGGTTTAAGGTTAGTGAATAGGGTATAGGGTCATGGTTTAGAGTTAGGATGATTAGGACGTATGTTCTTCTCAATAACCGAATATAAAATTGACTTAACTTAAATTCTTCATATAACATACATTATAGTTTATACCAACAATTTCATAACATATAACTATAGTTCATGGTTTGAGGTTAGTGAATAGGGTATAGAGTCATGGTTTAGAGTCGGTGTTTGGGTTATGGTTAAGGGTTGAGGTTAGTTTTAGGGTTAATGACAATGTTGTCTTTTAGGGTAATGTATTGTTGATGGTTAATGTTAGTTTTAGATTTTAGGGTTAAGAAGTAAGATGGTGTTATAGGGTTAGGGTTTAGGGTATAGGGTTTCTTCATGGTTATACTTTACGATAGATATTTTGGTTTTTATATTTCATTATTTAATTTGATTTTAACAATTAATTTAGCTATTAGGTAAAACTAGGTATTTAAAATATTTTGAAAACTTGTGAATGCACATCGTAAATATATCAAATTCAAATGACATTCCGACCAACGGATCGAACAACAAACTAGTTAATCAGTAAATTTTTTATCATCTATAATAATAAATATAAAAAAAGGAAGAACAAGACGTTTGACAAAAAATTGAAGGAAATTTTTTGAATGCAAAATTCAACAATCACTTTTCAACCCCAAATATTTGGTCCAAAATTCCCTCCTCCAATAATAAAATCGCCGCACAATATTTGGAAACCCCCTGTCAATGTCCAAAATTACCCCACCCAATATTTGGAAACCTCCCCCAATATTTGGGTCCAAAATTCCCTCAGAACCTCCTATTCTTTAACTAAAAATATTAAGAAGAATTTTTTTAAATTCTTTATTCAAATGACGTTAGCTAAGGAAGGAAAAATATTGTGAAATTTTCTCACTTAGCCCTTATCCTTTTCTGGACCGAAGAACCCGCAACTCGACCCGTTTGCAACCCGCAATCCGATCAACCCAAACCCGATAGATCCGCAAACTAATCAACCCGAACCCGATTTGCCCGCAACTTGATTGACCCGCAACCCAAACTCGATTGACCCGCAACCCGATTAACCCGCGACCCGATTGAACTCGACCCGAATCCGCCTGATTGACACCTATATTTATGAGTATGACTGCTTTGATTTCTGTTTTCCTCTCTCTCTCTCTCTCTCTCTCTCTCTCTCTCTATGGAGTAGACCTTTCTCTCATTTGGGTATGAAGAACCCTAGTTGCATGTGTTAGGATCTTGATTGTAATGACTTTTTGGGATGATATAATGATTGATTTTAATCGATTGAAGTGTGTTTATTGAGTCAATTGAATCCTGATTAACTTCTCTTGATTTCTGCTTCAACATGAGATAGATAGAATCTGAACACGTTGTTAGACTCTCTTCAATCGATAGGAGTGAATTGATTGTACGAGAGTCAGTCAATTCACTGCTTTATTCTGGAATTTGTTTCCAGTAGTGGAGGTCTGTGTGAATCGCCTTAGCAGTCTATTCTGGTGAAGGCTAGTCGCCTGCCTGGTATTCTGTCTAAGAGGACTTGGTCAGTTTAAGAGATTCCAAGCTAAATT